TCCTTTCAGTCACAGACAGGCTCTTGTGGCGATTCTCTGTGGGTGTGAGGCCTGAGAAACAGCGCAGGCCTCTCTGCCACCCCCTCCCCGCATGCTCTTCTGCATCTCTGCAGATGGCTGGTCAGCTCCATGAAGGTCATTGCTGTTAGTATGTTCCCTGTTGCCATTGTAATGAAGCAGTTTTTTAAAGGCTTTTGCTTTTGCAGCTGTGACCAGACAGAGTGGTGAGGTGGGGGTTCTTGGTTTTCTTCCTCCCCCCACCCCACAGAGGGAGGGGCATGCTTCCCTCCCCACTGGTGCCTGGCTGTCCTTTGTTGAGAACAAGCTGGATAATGGTGGAATGAGACCAGAGGAGGGCAGAGTTGGGGAAGATACATAAGCCAGACTAGGGTCAGAATTGGGTGGGCTTTGGAAAGAGTAGTTGCAGGACTTGAGGGAATTTGGAGGAAACAGACTTTCTAGAATTGTCAGAGTTAAGGGTTTTAATTGACATTCTTCAAGAGACGCAAAGATTGGAAAACGTATTATTTTTGGTTACCAGACTGTATTTCTTAGTGCTGCTTAGTACATGGACCTGTGGGAACAGGAACCTGTCAGCGCACAAATCCCATCACCCAGGACCAGGACACTTACTGGGATCCTAGAGGGCGTTGTTGGAGGGCCCACCGGAAATGTTGCATGGGGAGGGACTCACGAGAGTAACACTGTCAGCGGGTTTGGCTTGGGTCACCTCTCTCTAGGGAGCAGTCTGCCTGCAATTTCTGGATTCTGCCCTCTGCTGGAATGACATATCCCAGTTTAGAGGACTGTGAAAATGTTTTCCTTTCTTTTAAAATCAGAAGAAGAAAGCAAATATAAACCAAACTGGATTATACTGTTGTACTGATGCAGTTGTAAAATAACATTTTTAGTATTTGTTGAAGGAGCCCCCCAAAAACATCCTCCAAGCAGGCCCCAGTACCGCACTGTCTCCCCTAGTCACAGGGCTCATTATGACAGCGGCAGGTTGATTGCAGGGGTGAAATATTTGTGATATTGCTTGCCCACAGACCTAAGCCAAAGTCTTCAATTTTGCTTTTAATACAATTGGTAATTTGATCGTCGTCTGCCTAATTCCTCTGTTGATCAGTTTGTCCTGCATTCAGGTGGCCTCTCAAGTCCTAAGACATCAGCGTATCTCATCATTTCTCAGTCTCAAACCTTTTCTTTACACAAACTTCTAGATGGCTAAATGTTATTGACACTTTTTGATTTACCTAAATTTAACCCAGATAAAAAATTGACTGTTTAGGGAACTTTACTGTATACAGACTCCTATGGTTTAGGTGCCTATGGTTATCTCATGCAGAGAGCCCAGACAGGTGAGACTTATAGGACCCTATACCGTCAAGGGCTCTTTGTGCTTGTGCTCATCATATCCTTCATTCTAACAGGCAGGTTGAAAGCCTCCCAAATGGATTGCTCCATTCTAGTTCCTCAAAGCTCATTTGCCATGCTACAATTGGACCAATCCATTCAAAATACAAATCTGAGTATGTAAATGTCAGTTGTGCATACCTAAAACCCTTCAGTGACTTGCCTTGTATTGGGAAGAAAAGATTCTAACATAGCCCACATAGTCTGGGGGGTCTGGCTTTGACCCTGCAGGCTCTCCGTCTCTCTGACGATGCTCCTAGCATCGCCTTTTCTCAATTCCAGGATCCCACCCCCCATTCCCACCCCAGAGCCTTCAAGCTTGCTGTACCCTGGCATGATCTGCTGCAGTTCTGACCCTGGTAATCAGGGCACATGAGTGCTGCACTCTCAGGAAGTTGTCTGACCCTCAGATCTAAAAGCCCGATATTATCTTCACTGCCCACCTTACATTTCTTCTGAGCACTTATCAAGGCTTGCAATGACATTTGTGTATTAACTTGTTTAATGTCAGTCTCTGCATGAACTCTGTGGGGGCACAAAGCCTAGTTCACTTTATAAAGACAAAAGGATATTTTTCCAAAAAGATGACTGATCCATGCTGTAATGAGATCTTTATAGTACAGATTTTAGAGTTGGTCTTCTAGGGATTTCCTGTTTTTCCTCACTGAACTGATAGAAGCCTATGCAGGATGGCTGAGATAATAATCTGTTTTCCTGGACCCTTTTCTGGGTGATGTGTGTTGTTCTTGTCCTGCTATGAGGCCCACTATTTATTTCACAGCTCTTAGAGTTCTTCACAGACAGTATTCAACTTTTGCTTATGCATTTACTCCAAGAAAAGTCTTCAAGTACTAATCCCTATCAGTGATTTCTCTTGAAGTCTTGGTCTCTCACCAATTTGCTTTACAACTTTCCAGATGGCTTTTAATTTCTTTTAATGAAAATGATGGCATGATGCTGTGGCTCCATTTAACCTGAACATCCTGTATCTGTTTTCTTTTTGGTAGTTTCATTCTCTCTGTAGGACCGGCCCTGTCTCCATGCAGGACACCTGCAAATTCTGGGATAACAATAAGAGGTCATTTTTATTGAGTGTTTACTATGTGTCAGTCACTGTTTTAAGTATTAGTTCATTTAATCCTCAAACCAAACTAATGAGGCAAGGATTATTATAATCTCCATTTACAGATCAGAAGACTGAGGCATGAGAGTTTAATCCACTTGTCCAAGGTCATATTCTAGTAAGTGGGACAGCCAGGATTCAAACTCATGCAACGTGGCTCCAGTATCCTGCCTGGTCACTACTAAGCTCCAGTGCCTCCCTAGGGACTTGTGAATGCCATGACATTTTTGGGCAGCTTCATTGATTAAAACCCCTCACTGAAAGAAAGAACTAAGGAGTGGCTCAGGGAACCCATCTCCTCTCCTGTCCCCTGGGTGACTGTGGAACTGTTGGCAGATGGTGGGTATATGGAATTTTCTTCTGGCTGAGAAGTAACTGCACCTTGGCCAGTCACTATTTCTCAAGTGGAAGCATCTGCTTTCTGCTCAGCAAAAAGAGAATTGGCATCAATATATAGACTATAAATAAGTTAAGATGTTTAGAAGCTGATGGCCCTTTGTATTTACTGCAAGGAATGTACTGATCATAACAGGAACTCAAAAATGACTGCCAAATGAAGAAAATAATTCAGGTGGGATGGTTTCCCTAGTTTGGCTCCTGGCTCATTTTCGGTGTTGAAATCCACTCTGCCAATTTAACAGAAGGTGTAGAAATAGTTAAATTCACCCAAGAAGCTAAAAGATCAGGGGATGATGCAGGAAAATGATAATCATTTTAAGTCTTAACAGATCAAGTAAGACATTTCTTGCTGCGTTTCAATGTGCTGTTGAAACCAAGGAGCAGCTGGGTTTTAGCAGCAAAACAGTTTCTTTTTTTTAAAAAAAAAAGACGTTGATAAAGATGTTGATACTAATGACCTGCCAAGCCTCTTAATCATTCAGAATACCAACCTTTGTTCTCTAGTCCCAAACATTAGGCAACAGCACTTAGAATCAATTCATAAACTCAAACAAAAATTCAGAAGAAGACAAGGGATATGATTTAATAACAGTAAAATAATTTAAAATAACTCACTGTAATTAGCAGCAAAATAGCACACGGACTTAAAAAAAAATTTGACCTATCTATTCGTCAAAAATTATTTAACTTGTATAAGTTTGTCTTCTCTCTCCCCAAACAGGTATTTATTATTTTTGTGGATAAACTAAAAGGATTCCTAACTCTTAGACATATCAAAGCAGAGACTAAATGTACACAATACTTAACTGCAGCTAAACAGAAACTGTTTTTTTCCAATATAGCCATAAACACAGGGAATCAGCATGTTTAAATCATGACAAATATTCTTATTTTAAAATTGTTTTGTTTAATCTTCTATTTTAGATCTTTTGACATTACTATCATTTTATATGAGGTTCTTATACCTGAGTAAACTGCAGCCAGTTTAGAAGCTAAAATGCTTGAGTTTAAGTGGGAAGTAGACTTTTATCAAAATTGAAACAAAAAAGAAATTATAAAGGGCAGAGAATTCTCTTCAGGTACATCATATTTATAGATAATGATTATTAAACAATTAAAAAATAGTAGATAAAATAAAGGAATAGCCTCACAAAGTCTAGTGATATTTCTTCCTATGTAAGTAAGCATGTTTGCAAAAATTTAGAACTGACTTCTTTTTTCCTGTAAGGAAAGCTATAAAATAAAAGCAAAATAAATAAGAATAAAATATCTTAAGGTGAAAAAAGGTCAACTTTTAGTTTCCAAAAAATCAAAAAAATAAGCAGTCTTTGAAAACAAGTACCCACTGGAGGGATATGTAAAGTTGAACAAGTATTAAATATGCAATAAGAACAAAAAGCTAAATATACAACTAAAATATAATTTAAATTTAGACTCTCTCAAATTCTTCCTTTAACAATCTTTTATCTAAAGAAGAATTATGGATAGCTAACTAGAATTCACTAATAATTGGTAGAGCCAAAATTTATCTAAAAAGTAAATTTGTACTTAGTGGACAGAATAGAATTTCCCAGTTTTTTTCTGTTCACTATAAACCAAAAGCACAAGAAGATATCTTCATAGTACAATTAGTTTAAATGACATATCTTGGCCTTATATTTTTTCTTTATATAAGCAAAGGAGCATGGTAAAAGTTATTCAGAAGGGCCTTTTTCATTGCTAGTCACCTTAGTTCAGTGGGGTTATTAAATTTAAAACAGGAATAACAGGTTTTCAAAGTTCAAGCTGATGAGATTCAACTTTCTGCATTTTGTAGCTGACATTTGCTGTTTTCTGGTGGTATATACAGGAAGTTATAAGCCTACCCCCAAAGATTAGAATTTTGCTCTCCAAATTCAACACCTGCTGTTATGGGAAAGAGGGTGAATGCAATCTGAATACTGGTACTTCAAGGAGGTAAGCACGTAGATTGCATCATTCAGTGTCTTGAACTAAAAAAATAACACTAACAATTTAAGTGACACATTAGCTGAAGCATGCAACCAGCGGTACTCACCATCCTGGGCAGCTCCTCTGGAACGGCAGGCTGTTCCCTCCAGGTTTTTTACTGATTTTGTAGGTCCAGCCCACCACCTTGTTCTGTCCAGAGCATAGCAAACCAATACTCTGAAAACGAGGACAGCCCTTCTGCAATAGTTAAATACTTTCTCCAATATTATCATTGGAGATAAAGTCTTCAAATGAATGCTGGTACGTTTTTGTCCTGCTCAGTTTCAAGGAAGGAAACATCTTTCCCACACTCCGGAAAACCAGGTATCTGCTTCAATTAAACCCTTTTACCTGCATTGAGCAGGCACTAGATGGTAACATCCATTTCTTGAAAGCAGTATATACATCCGTTTGCACTTGCATGGTTAAAACACAAATGAATTGTATAATGAGCTTTACTGTGAGTTTTTTAAAAGTTTGACAAGTGGATTTAAGAAATACTGAGGTATCTGAAGCTATTTAAGACACTTCCCTTTACAGAATGGATTCCTTCGGCCCCCACCAAGTAGTTTTGTTTCTGTTTCCTATCAGAATGATTTCCAAGAGCCACTGAATCCGTTGCAGGAAATAGTATGCTTCAACATATTTTGTTTAAATTCTCTTTGCACCTGGATAAACGCTACCACTTTTGTCTGTGGTCGTGAGTCCTCAAGACGCCCGTGTCACGGGAGCTCCTTACAAGGATGTCCAACAGGGAGAACGGAGGAGTGGCAGCCGTTGGGCCTCGTCGTTTGCCGTCTGGCCGCTGCGAGCCCTGCGCCGGCTTGGCGGGGTCGGGGTCCTGGTTTCTGCGCGTCCCGCCGCCGTTGCGCGGCCGCGCCGGGCCGAGTGTGCTGGGAGGGCGCGGCTACCCGCCCCGGCGGACGAATCGTGAGTGTCCCCGCGTCGGGCGGCAAGTGCCGGTCAGGCCGAGCGGGGACGTCCCGGGCAAAGGGCGCCGCGCGCCGCTCGCGAGGCCCTGGGCGTCCGGCGGGCTCTCGCACCGCCTTGGCGGGCTGGGGACCCGGTCGGGAGGGCCAGCTGCCTCCCAGGGGCTGGCGTAGCTGCAGATACCTGACCACAGGCGGGCGCGGTGGCTTCGCAGGCAGGAGATGGCTTTGAGTTGATGCGCATTTCCCCCTGAAGGTCGCCAAGACGACCCTGCGGCCCATATGCCCATTTTTTGTGACCTTCCTCCCTCGTGCTCGGGAAAGGCCTCCGCCACCTGCCCGTCACGCTGCAAGCTCCCCTCGGCAGGAGGTCCTGCCTGCAGGCCTCATCCATGCCGCCGCCAAGCGCCATTCGCCCGGCGGCTGCTGACTGGAGTCCCTGGGCTCCTCGCTCAAGTCCTGTGGGGGTGCTAAGAGCAAGGGGCAGTCTCCAGCCAGGCAGAGGGCTTCCAAGTCTCACCCGGGCCGTGAGCACCCCTGGATTGGGGGGCCCATGAACAGAGGCTTCCTGGAGTTCGGGGGTGCCTTCATTCACGTAAGGGTTATGATCATGTGGTTTTAAGGCCAGTAAAGGAGAGGTTTTTTTGTTGTTGTTTTACATAGGTGTGTATGGGCTCGAAGGTGGGGACATAAAGTGGGGGACTTTTCAGGGCCTTTACAGTCTTGCTGTGTAATGGCAGCTTCCCTATGCTCTGGTGGAGGTGGGCTCTGTCTGCAGGTGTGCCCAGAGCCTCAGAACGCTGCTCCTGGGAATCTTAGGGCGTTTAGCGTCCTGCTCCCTACTCCTGCCTCTCAGGTACTCTTGCCCCTCTTTCTCCTTTTCTTCTTCTCATTCCCTCTTTCTCTTCTACGTTTTCCTCTTTCCTTCCTTTCTGCAGTTTTACCCTCTGGTGAGTTTTATCCCTTTCCATGGCTAATTACTAACTGCACTCATGGCTTGTAAATCTGTCTGCAGCCCAGATCTCTTGCCAATCTTGAGTTAACTGCCTGTTGAATAAATCCCTTGGCTGACTACCAGACAATAAATTTAAAATCAAATTCACCACCTTGTCTTTGAAAACAGCTCTTCCTCCAGCGTGTTCTATTTCTGTTCAAGGCACCACTGTCTTCACCTGAGCATCACCTTGAACTTTGACTCCTTGTCCCCTGGCTGCCCTATCCTATCCTTTGAGGGGAGCTGTTGCTCCAGTCCCTTTTCATCGCTACCGCACTGTTTCGCTAAAACTTTTGTCACCTTTTAACTGTTCCAGTTACATAGGGGAGGGAAATACTTCCCTTCTTTCCTTCTAGGTTCTTTGGCTGCTTTGATAATTAAATTGACACAAGGCAGATTAACAGGAGAAAAAGACAAATTTTAATTTCATACATATAGGAGCTCAGAGAAATAAGAGACTCAAAGAAGTGTCCAAAGCAGGTAGCTTTTATACCTTTTAGACATAGAAGTAAGAAATTTGTGAAGAGTTGACAAGATAGAGAAGCTTGGGCTTGGAGTAACAAATAAAGGAAGGAATAACAAGGTTTTGTTTATATAGCCTCCGTGGCCCAAAATTCCCTATCTCTCTGGTGATAAGGATGCCTTCTACCCTCCAGGTGCAGGAGGGGTGCCCTTCATATGAGGAACTGATCTCCTTCTTTCAGTGGAACAGAGGATGGTCAGAGTGTCCTTCTTGTACCAGCTGGTTTTTAAGCAACTTTCATTTAAGATAATTAATATGCCAAAATGGCATATTTTGGGGTGGCCTGCACTAGACCTCATTAGTAGCTTTCCAAATGTTCTCTCTCATGCTAATTCCTGTTATACAATCTGCCAGATTAATCTTCCTGATCATGTGATTTTCTTGATAAAAACCTTTAAAGGTCTGCACTGCTGACAAAATACAACCTGCACCTTTAACTTAAATTTAAGAATCTCTATGATCTCATCTAGGCTAGTTTTCTGGTTTTATCTCCAGATCTCTCCCATTCATAGTCTACTCTCCAGCCAAAGTAAATTATCTGTGTTCTGATACCTACTTGGTACTTTTCTGACCCCCATCCTTTGCTTCTGCATTCTCCTCTGCCTGTAATTCCTTGTCCTTTGTGTCCACACACCACGCAGATCTTATGCATTAGCTGGATGTCATCTGCTCCTCCTGACCTGCCATAGGACTACATTTGGGTTGCGTCTGGAGCAACACTTTCCATAAAAATTTGTTGAATAAATGTGTGAATGATTATACATTTTGGCCTGTTCCTTGTTCCCTTTTTGTCGTAGCTCCTGAGGAAGAATAAGTTAACAGTTAAACCACAAATGAACTACTGCAACACAATTATTGATTAGTTGTCACATACCTTATGCATGCAGAATTGTACTAAATTTTTTCACATGCATGTTAAGAACTTATTATTGTTTAATCAAGTCAGACTTAGACACATCTGGGGCTAAAGGAAGTTTTAGCTGACACTCAGCTGGAATAAGGGATTAGTGTTTAAAGCATCCCTGCCAATCTCAGATACCTAAATTCAAAAGATTCAGTCAAATTCAGCCACTGCTGATTCATTCAGAAGCCAGCCTCTGCTTACTTCTCCATTATAGTGTTGTGGGCAAGGAAAATTAGAAAACATAAAGCTGGAAGCATAAAGGATTTGCTGGGGAGTAATAACCATAATCATGATAATAATCATCACTAACATTTATTTAGCTGTTAATATGGGCTGGCACTGTGTTAAACACTTTTATAGCTAAGCTCACTTAGTACTCACAAGGACTCTCACCAGATAGGTCTCATATTTTCCCTCTTTGGCAGATGCAGAAGTTGAGGCACAGATAGGTCAAAAGCTTGCCCAAGGTCACACAGCTAGTTTAAGTGGCTGAGCTGGGATTCAAACCCATATCACATTGCTCAAACCTTTTCCAATCAGTCAACATTTGATGATCACTGAAGCTCAGTGATAGAGGCAGAAGAAATAAGACATGCTACCTGCCCTAAAGCTTACAACCCAGCTGGGGGCAAAGAATTAGGAAACACTGTGGGTGAGCAGACAGCTGTCAGTTCTTGGTGCTCCCACAGTGTAAGTGCCCAGCACTGGGAAGTTTGGATGGCAACTGCCTGCTTCCACATCTGTTTCTCCACTAGACTGTGGTCTCCTGAGGGCAGGGACTTGTGCCATTTGCAGTGCTTCTCCCATGGCCCCCAAAAATGTCTCACACAGAGTGGTGCGTAGAATGCACTTGGTGGAACTGACCCGAACTGCTAAGCGGTGTGGTAATAGCAGGACAGATGTGGGCTGGTCGGTCTGGCTGGGTCGCTGGGAGAGTTTCAGGAGAAGGGGTGACTTGAGGATGAATAAGGGTTAGAGTTTGTTACAGACTGAATGTGTGTCTCCTCAGAATTCACCTGCTGAATCCCAACGCTTAAGGTAATGGTATTAAGAGGTGGAGCCTTCGGTGGGTGATTAGCCCATGTGGGTGGAGCCCAGATGTATGTGATTCCTGCCCTATAAAAGAGACCCCAAAGAGCTCCCACGGCCCTTCTACCATGTGAAGACACAGCAGGAAGATGGCTGCCTGTAACCAGAGACACCAGAAGAAGGTGTCTCCCCAGGAACAGAATTGGCCAGCATTTTGATCTCGGACTTTACAGCTTCCAGGACTGTGGGTTCAAACTGGCCTTTTCTGTTAATTGATTTGTTTTCCTCGTTGTTAGTGAATCATGTATTAGAGCGATACATCACTACCTTACTCAGTTCCCACAGTTTCCGTATGCCTTTATTGTTCTGTGATCAGGAGCGTTGCGCGCCAGCCGTTTGGGGGCAGTTAAACATTGAGTTCTGGAAAAGGTTAATAATTGTATGATGTGTAATACTGACTGCTTTCAAGTGTAACTTTGTGATCAATAAATATGAGAAGTGCCTTTTCGGCACCACTCTTGCGCTGTTACGCCTTGAGTCCCCTGGCTGGTCCTTTCAGGTCTTCGACAACTCATTGCGTCTCCCTCCCTTCGGTCGGGGGTCGAGGAGTCCGACACAGGACTGTGAGAAATAAATGTTTGCAGTTTAAGCCACGCAGTCCCTGGTACTTTATTATAGCAGTCTGAACTGACTGAGGCAGAGGTCCTTTTCCTTTCCTTTTTCCCCTCCCTCCCCTCCCCACTCTTTCCTCTGCTCTGCTGCCCTCTGTTTCTTTCTTGGTATGCACTTTTTAATTTTGGATCTTGTACAACTTTATTTTTAAGCAATTAAAGCTTTGATCTCCTTCCCTAGCCTCCTATAGCCACTAAATCTCTTCTAACTGCCAATGCCTCTAAGTCTTTTTCCCTCAGGCCAAGATGTAGTAGGGATTGTCCAGAGCAGTGC